ACTCCTAGAATGATAACTTTCAGACAAGAGCACTAATTAACAGAAACGAACCTCCGCTAACTTCTCCACGCCCTAAAATCAACACAAACCTGACCTCGTTTTACCCACTTAGAGACATTCCCAGATACTTGGAGGAGGCAGCGAGCAATTCTCGGGCCGAGCGATTTTTCTGGTGTGGTGATTAAGTGGAGCGGGCCATGCAATGACGTTTTCTGAAACGTTACATTTGTGACATGCCACGGAACCAGTCAACTGTCAAACATCACATTCTTTACCTGTATTAAACTGATCCTGAGCGTTGTCACGTGGTGATTAAAGCAAAGAAGCCCGTGTGGTGGGAAGTAAGTCGCTACAATCAAGTGTGTTTATATTTCTTGTTCTTCTTCAAGTTCACCGGCTTTAAACTCCAGCAGAAAAGTTGTTGTTGATCAAAAACTTCCGGACTTTAGTCTGGTTCCAGATCGGTGCTCATCTGTTTTACTGATCTAGCTTATTTGTATGCAGACTGTTGATTCCTCGCCTCTCAGGCAGATGTACTCTGACTTCGAAGGAAACATCGATAACTAGTCGAATCTCACGACATGCTTGTTAGGATGCATGAGGTCTATCCCCCCCCCTTTCCCCATAATATGGCCCTGGGACACACACGGGGAAGTATATATTTGTCAGCGTCACCAGCCCTAGGCGTGTGCGAACACGCTTCGTAATTCCGATTTACCCAGTTCAATTCCAGCTATATGTGATAAGTCCACACAGTCATTTGTGCTAGTTCCGACAGTCTACCGAGGAGCAGCAAAGGCAAACTACTGAACATAACCGAACATTCAAAAATGGTAGAGTGCCTTGACTTGCTTTGCGAAAAAAAAAAAAAACGTCACGTTCAGCCAGGATCTCACCAACGAGGGAGAAGCTTTTGGTTATAATTGAGACTAGGTTTATGTGCTCCATATTGAAAAACTTAGCACTGCTCGCCATCAAGTAGCACTGAAAAGGACTCTTGCAGTGTTGATGTGGTCAAGCGAGACAGACCCAAATACTGTCTCGACCGACAACGAAGTCGTCTACTTGCCAGCCAATGAGCGATCCGGTGGCCGATGAAATGGTACAGTTGATTCTACAACGTTACATGAGAGTGTGGAGGCGGCGGTGGAGGGGAAGAGGATCGACACACACACACACACACACACACACACACACAGAGAGAGAGAGAGAGAGAGAGAGAGAGAGAGAGAGAGAGAAACAGCATGACTAACAAACAGCACACACGCAGGGCTCTAACACGAAGAACTGCACAGGCACACAGGTAGATAGTCTATCAGGTAATTACGAGGGGGCTTCAAATTAAAACATTAAAAGTGTCACATAAATTACAGTCACCACGTGTTTGTAACAGGTCAATATTGTAGTTCAGGATGGCAAGAATGTTAAGCACGTGACATTATGGTGCAGACAAATTCTGTACCGTCATAATGACAATTAAAAGATGGCTTCCCTTTTTTTGACATGTATCAAAGAGGAGCAGCGCTCGGTTATGCATTTTGCTAATCAGTTAAGGGATGAAAGCTATAGAAATTCTTCATTATATTGATCTTCCTTCGCCGATGAATTTATATAGGTAACTGGGATGGCTGCTGCTAATTTGCAGCATAATTTTAAGGTTTTCATTTGAATGCCACCACCTCGTTGATGGGCGGCTACACCGATTGACAGACTTCTTAAGGTACACAGAGTACAAGTCTACAGACTGTACCGGGCTTGTATGGTCATTCATTACAGGTGTCCAAATTAGGTCTTCTATTACTGGCGAATCAGCCATGTGTACGCGTGTTTTAGCATGGCAGACAACAGATGACTTCCTCCAAGACTGTCCCAGATAAGGCATATCAAGGAAAGACTTTTGGCTAAGAGAAACATCGGTGCAAGTCAAACTTTACGGGTCGCTGAGTGAATTACAAAAGACAGTGAAGCTCAATATATACTACAGACAACTAATACTATAGACAAGGGTAAGTTGCGTATCCTTTACAGGACATTGCAGAACCAACCTCAACAGCCCCTGGCTTTTGTGTGGTTTTTCTAGGCAAATTTACGTTCAGTAGTTTGCCATTGCTTCTGGACGGTCGGTTTCTTTGATACCACTGTCGAAACCAACACAAGGCGCATGGCCCGCAGCTGGGATCAAATTCGGCATCCCGGCATTACGAAGCGTTCGCATCGACTTAGGCACAGAGCCGACAATACTATAGACAACACTGCAGATATAGATGATCTATGTCAAGTGATTGAAAGAAGAACAAGAAGAAGAATACATTCTATTGAGGTTACCCAAGGCATTAGGTCTTTTTCCCTGTTGGCTTGCCATCCAGACTGGGTGGAATTTCGGGGTGTTCGGACTTTCAAGCAGCTGAGCGGAGGGAAACCACGGTAGAAAGGAAGAACGTTTAGTAGTCAGGCTGATTCAGGTGTGGGTTCCACGGCTCCATGTTGCAGAACGAAGTTTAGACACAGTGTCCCGTAACAAGCATGTCTAAGGAGGCGATTAATTACATTCAACGTCGGAGTGCATCTGCTTGAGAGGCAAGGAACCAACAGCCTGCATAAAAAAGGCCAGGTAAAATGGATGTGCACCCAAAACTCAAGTTCTGGATCAAGACTAACGTCCAGAAATGGACGAACAACCAAAACTTACAGTCGGTAAACACGAAGAAGGAGAAGAGTTAGCCGGGTACACAGATAAAAACGAATACTTGGGCAGTTACAAAGGTAGGCCTACACTTAGCCAGGTACACGGCTGATAGTTAAATACACAGGCAGGCACAAACAGTTATACTTATGTAGGTAGATATGAAGGCAAGTACACAAATTTAATTATACACCCAGCGGTTACACATGTAGACAGGTAAATAAAGTTAGATACGAAGGCAGATACACAAATATATTTAAATACTCTAGCGCAGTAGTTCTGAACCTGCCAGCCGTGACCCCTCCCCCCCCCCCAACCTCCCTTTTTTTTAGGTCGAACAACCCTTTCGCATGCGTCGCCTAAGACCATTGGAAAACACATATTCATTGAAGTTATGAAGAAAGAGAATTGTTCAGGGGGTCGCCACAACATGAGGGAACTGTATTAAAGGGTCGCGGCTTTAGGAAAGTTGAGAGAAACTGTTCTAGCGGCCACATAGATAGACAGGTAAACACTAATGGCGGTACATATGTAGGTGAAGTAATGAATATTTTTACACGACTTTAGGCGTTCTGGTCATAAAGGACTAGACCTATATTTTATAGACCAGTCGTCACTTGGTGGGTGAAGTAGTCAGCATCACACAGGTCGCTTTTACTGCCCACGATTTTACCTGGTACCAATTTAAGGCTGGGTCGATCTGGAAGCCAAAGTTATTTTTGAAATTAAAAAAAAAGAAAGTAGATTTCGTCACGACCTGAATACACGAACTTCGGATCTACAAGTGAGAGTCTAGCCGCTACATCACTGAGACTCCCAGGCACATATGTGGACGTGAGAGTCTAGCCGCTACATCACTGAGACTCCCAGCCACATATGTGGACGTGAGAGTCTAGCCGCTACATCACTGAGACTCCCAGGCACATATGTAGACGTGAGAGTCTAGCCGCTACATCACTGAGACTCCCAGGCACATATGTGGACGTGAGAGTCTAGCCGCTACATCACTGAGACTCCCAGGCACATATGTGGACGTGAGAGTCTAGCCGCTACATCACTGAGACTCCCATGCGCATATGTGGACGTGAGAGTCTAGCCGCTACATCACTGAGACTCCCAGGCACATATGTGGACGTGAAAGTCTAGCCGCTACATCACTGAGACTCCCAGGCACATATGTGGACGTGAGAGTCTAGCCGCTACATCATTGAGACTCCCAGGCACATATGTGGACGTGAGAGTCTAGCCGCTACATCACTGAGACTCCCAGGCACATATGTGGACAAGTAAATACTTAGAAAACCACTGAACTATGATTAGGAAGATACGTTTTGGGGGAAGCCTTTCTCGAATGTCGGCTCTGTGGCTAAGTCGATGCGAACGCTTCGCTTCGTAATGCCGGGATGCCAGGTTCGATTCCAGCTGCGGGCAATGCGTCTTGCGTTGGTTTCGACAGTGGTATCAAGAAAGCCGACCGTCCAGTAAGCAATGGCAAACTACTGGATGTAAATTGCCTAGAGAAACCACACAACAGCCAAGGGCTGTTAGGGGTTGGTTCTGCAACGTCCTGTAAAGGATACGCAACTAACTTTTTAACTTTCTCGCATAAATCACATCAACAAAGGGCAGATTATCCAGACCCCAGTTCCTCCACACTTGGAAATGGGGTGGGGGGGGGGGTGGTCAAGTGATTTATTCTATAGGTAAATAATTACACAGGTACACAAGCTAGACAGGTAAATACTTTAGCACGCACACAGGTAGACATAGATTTAGGAAGGTAAATGGACAGACAGGTAAATATTCAAGCACGCTCACAGGTAGATATAGATTTAGGAAGGTAATGGACAGACAGGTAAATACTTAAGCACGCACACAGGTAGACATAGATTTAAGAAGGTAAATGGACAGACAGGTAAATATTCAAGCACGCACACAAGTAAACATACATTTAAGAAGGTAAATGGACAGACAGGTAAATACTCAAGCACGCACACAGGTAGACATAGATTAAAGAAGGTAAATGGACAGACAGGTAAATACTTAGGTGGGTACACATGTCAAGTTAGATACTTAAGCAGGCACACAGGCAGATAGGGAACCAGTTAGATACTTTCACGGGTAGTCGGGTAAACATGTATCTACCTAGACAAGTTTAAAAAAAAATTTAGAAAATTAGGCAGGTAAATAATTGGATGCATATGTAGAGTTAGACACAGGCAGAGACACAACTAGACAGGTAAATAGATTCTTACACAATGACACAGGTAGATACACAGACAGGTAAATATAGTTCAACACCTAGACAGGTACTTAC